ATTTACTTTTAGAATTTACTTTTAATTTTAAAATAAATATATAACAAAAGTGTTTCCGTTAATAATTCTTTGTAATTAATTAATTAATGTTTGTTTAGCATTAATTATCCAAAATATAATTTCTACCCCAACTGCTTGCTGTCACTTAAGATATTAACTATATTAATGCATGTTATTTACATTATGAAATAATTCTGTGTGTATCTTCACCATTCAAGCACAATAACCCACTAAAAATAACTGAAAAATACAATTAACAAGCTGAACTAATATTTGTATAATCAATATTGTAAATGTTATTACCTAAGGATGGGTACTGAAACACGGTACTTTATCGTTGCCGGTGCTACATTATAAAAGAGCGAAGTATCGATAAGCTCTGACGTTAACGGTTTTGCTATTAGTACTGGAGAATTATTGCAGAATAAACATTACTTACAGTCGCTTAATTAAACTGACCAACCTTTTCTAATATTTAATATTCGTCTGCACAGTTGGCAATCTCATCCTCACATGAGAAATGCTTATGTTTCCGGTGACCGCGTCGAATATAAAAGAATAAATAAAGGCTCGCGCTAAGAGCACACACATAGCTTGTGACACAGACTCGCACGCACACACAGCTTGTAACCTTGCGAAGTGAACCAAATGGGTTGTATTTCCTGAGTGGACAACGAAAATGTCCTTTGCAACAAATGCAACAAGTTGTTTTCTTATATTAGCGTAAACGCAAGAAATCTGGTTAAGTGAATGTGTCTTTAAAAAGTGCATTAACTGCAATGAAAAGTGATAAAGTTTTGACTGCCTAGCTAACGGTAACGTTGCATCATCCACATCATTCTGCCAGCAGTCAATCACCTAAATTAGTATAATATTAATAGTTAAATAAACACACACATTCGCTTACAATGAAAACACTTTTTTTTTTCTGCAGTAGCCTAAATAAATCTTAAAAATTAAAAATGCTTTTACACCATATGTTTATCACCAATGAATAGCCGATTAATAAACTATACTTGTTAAGAAGTTATAAAAAAAATGCTCATTTTTTACATTGCAAGATGCTCCAAAACTATATTAAAACTCAGTTAACTCCCACAAAATTAATTATTAATTAAGTTAATTAAAAATCAGACAAATTATCTAATTTAACTGCATTTTTCAACTCAAAGAGGGTATTTTCAACTGCAGGGAGCACAATAAACCAAGAGAAGTCCTGACTTCTGTCAGAAAAGTCAAACATGTTGGTTTTTATCCAGAACAATGATTATAAACTGAGAGTCAAGTTTGGGAGTTGGGGGTTGATCCCTTATCATGGTGGGCATAATTATAGTTTAATCCAGATTTTTTTGGTTCAATGTGATCCAAATCCTACAAAAAAGGTCTGAAAACCCCAAACTAAAGGTTTGATCCCAATCAAAACAAAGATTAGATTACGTGATCCAATTATGTCATCCGTTTTTGTTTTGTTTTTGTTTTTTTGTTTTTTTAAAGACCCATTTTCTTGATTTGAACCAATTCGATATCCAAAATCCTAGTGGATTACTTTTGAAAAACCGGACCCAGGGTATTGGGCAAAAAAAAAAACTTTTTCGATCAGATTTTGAACTTTTAAACCATAAAAGAAATCAGAATAATGTATTTACATAATATTACACTTATCAGTTTATTAAGCTTAATCAGCAATATGGTAATTTCCTTGTATTTATTGTCATCAACTTGTGATCATCAGATTGACAAAAATGCATCTAAAAGGGATAGTTCACCCAAAAAATAAAAATGTACTCGCTATTTACTCGCCCTCAAGTGGATCCAAGTGGATTTTTTGAAAAGAGGATATTTTGTAGAATGCTGGAAACTGATAACCATTGGCAACCTTAGCATGGAAAACCTATTTTATTTGAAGACAATGGCTACCGGTACAACATTTCTCAAAGCTGTTTTTGTGTGAAATAATTTTTTTTACATTCTACGTTTTTGTGTGTGTGTGTGTGTGTGTGTGTTTTTAGGCTGTAGAGGAAGAAGACAAGATGACTCCTGAGCAGCTTGCCATTAAGAACGTTGGAAAACAGGTATCAATCACATTTCTTTCTCTATATTATTTTATTTTCACTATATTATTCTCTATATTAATTGTAAAAAACACACGTGACCTGACAAATTGTTTCATTTTGTTATTTTTATTTATTCATTTTTTTGTAATCTTAGAGATGCAAGTCTTAAAGGACCACTTTTCGGTTGTTCTCTTTCTCTTTGCAGGATCCCAAACGGCATTTGGAAGAGCATGTGGATGTTCTTATGACATCCAATATTGTGCAGTGCCTCGCAGCAATGTTGGACACTGTTGTGTTCCATTGATTTCCCCCATCCATCTCTGTTTGTGCATACATGTTCATATTCTACAACCGTTTTGTCTTTTTAAGAAATAAACACAAAATTCCAGTCACACCATTGTCTCTCCGTCATGGCTGCACGACACAATCTCATCACACTTGGTAAGAATTTCTTGTGAATGAATGGCCGATGCATGTGAATTTGTGGTAACACTTTACAATAAGGTTCATTAGTTAATGCGTTTACTGACATGAACTGATCATGAACAACACTTGTACAGCATTTATTAATCATAATTGAACATTTACTAATGCATTATTAACATCCAAGTCTATGCTTGTTAACATTAGTTAATGCACCATGAGTTAACATGAACTAATAATGAGCTACTGTATTTTCATTAACTAACGTTAACTAACATGAACAAATACAGTAGTAAATGTATTGTTCATTGTTTGTTCATTTTAGTAAATGGATTAATTAACATTAACTAATCAACTTTATTGTAAAATGTGACCGAATTTGTAAATTGTCATTTGTATGTTTTTCCTGAATGCTTTTTTTCATGTGTTCTGAATCCTGGGTTGCATATATAGATAACTATTGTACAATTTATTAATTCATTTTGTCTTTACTGTATGCAGTCTAAATTATGGCACTATTGTTTTAATGTAAATCTATTGTCCTTGCATTTCCCCTTGAACTTCTGGGCTCTAAGGGAGATTTTCAGAGAACAACACAGAAACACCTTATTTAAGATGACAGCACTTCAGGACCACGCTTAAGTGAGCGCCACTGTGAAATATTTATTTGTGTGCTGGGTAAACATGGTTGTTTCTGTCTAAAGCGTTTCACATGATTTCATGATTTTTTTTTTTTTATAACTGTATTCAAACCCATGTAGATTTCCTTTCCTATAGATAACAGTTGAAACAATAACTCATTTTAAAGGGAAACTAGAATGATTATTAAGGTTATAATTATAAAAAATACTCAAGGTAAAATAAGGCAGTCAATTTTTTTTCTCTTCAAATTTCAAGTTCAAATTCAACCTTTTCTAAAGAGTTTAAATGTGTCAATTCTGAGTTTATTATTGTGCATACTAAATTAAAATCTCAATTTCACCTCTGACTTGCAAAAGCAAGTTCTCACAATTTTATTCTTCCATTTCAAATTTCCCAATCTTTTTCAATTAGACTTCCGAATTTCAATGGGGTATATGCCGAGCTAGTGTTGTTCCCATACTGATAAACTTCCGGTGACCTGTTATTGTGAGTTTTTTTCCATTTATACAGTTCCTTTTACAGCATCGATGTTGTAATGTCATTAAAATACAGTCAGTTAAACAGACTTTGGCAATTATTTAGTTACTCAAGCATAAAACGAGACAAAAATCTGTTTGCTTTAAAAAAAATCTGTGAATTTTTCATTTTTTATTAGAAAAATAAAATGATCTGCTCTCATTTTCTGTTTATGTATTCATTAATTTAATGTATAAAAAACGCATACCAATTTCGGCAGTTTGCTTTATTTTGATTGTAATTTAATATATTTTTAAAAGAGTAAAACGTAAATCATAATTTTTAAATTCCAAAAATATTTTGATAACAAATCTATATTCTAAAAATATTTACGCCCATCAGATTCAGCAGGCTAGCGCGGAAGCTCCATTGAATATACTGGGGTAAATAAAATGCTTGTATTATAAAGACATGACGGGGAAAAAGTAATTTAATGCAGTGCTTCTTGTACAATCTGAGATTCACTTTATATTGGATATCACTCAGCCAGTGGAGATCGCTGATTTTTAAAGAAAACAGACCTTAAATGCGCCGATTTTTGCATTGGCATACAGATCACAGGAAACGATTAACCCAGGTTACTGGCAAATTAAAAGTCCTATTAGCATGCTTTGGCATGCCGAGCTAGTGCTGTTCCCATGCTGATACACTTCTGGTGACCTGTTATTGTGAACTTTTTTTCCATTTTATATGGTTCCTTATACAGCATTGATGTTGTAATGTCATTAAAATACATTCAGTTAAAAAACTGTAGCATTTATTTTGTTGCTCAAGCGTAAAATGAGACAAAAAGCTGTTTACTCGCACGCGCCCATCAGAATCGGCAGGCTGACGCAGAAGCTCCATTGATTATACTGGGGTAAAATAAATGCTCATATTATAAAGATATGGCGGGGGAAATGTAATTTAATGCAGTGCTTCTTGTACAATCAGAGACCCACTTTAAATCGGATATCACTCAGCTAGTGGAGATCGCTGATCTTTTAAAGAAAACAGACCTTAAACGCACCGGATTTTGCATTGGCATTCAATTCGCTGGAAGCGCTTAACCCAGGTTACTGGCAAATTAAAAGTCCTATTAGCATGCTTCGCCATATACCCCATTGTAGAATTTTAATCATTTCTTGTTTCTTGCCCACTGAGAAACCTAATAGTAAAAATCACTTGATGAAATTAGTTAGTATATACTTTAAGTATTTTTGACTCTAATGCTACACTTTAAAACCCAAAAAATTAAGGTAACCCAAACCATTTGGAAATTGATTGCAACAAACCATTTAAGTTTAAAAACTAATCCAGATGAGTACTGTGAACTTAATCCATTTGAGTAAACAAAGCAATTTGAGCGCAGTTGCACCCAAATGAAGAGAACTCATACCAACTGAGTACTGTAAAACCCAGTAAGTTAAGAAAACTTAAAACGCTTGAGGAAACTGATTGCCACAAAAATCTGTTTGAGTACTGAACTTACTCCATTTTTGAAGCAATGAGGTATTTCTTTAACTCATTACCTCCAACACTGAGTTCAAAACTCTCTTCAAATGAGTAGAATTAACTTTCAGTCAATTTTGAGTTGACTACACAGTTGTCTGTTGGGTTTTACAGTGTAGTAGCAGTAGCAAACCATTTGAGAAGCTATATCGTTGTTTGGACTTAATTTGTTCACTTGACTGAACTCGTACCGATTTAATAACTAGACTTAAAATGTTTCACTTATGAATACTCTAAATGTTTTTGATATGATATCAACACATATAACGTGTATCTTACTCATTATATGAGTTTACAGTACAAAAAACATTGTTTTCAAAACCTAAATGGTTTGCCGCAATCAAGATCATCAAACTGTTTGAGTTAACTTTTAGGGTTTTACAGTGTGCATATGATAATTATAAAAATTTGTACATCTCAAAAGTCCAAACTGTGTTATATAAAAATGCACAATTATGCCTATTTTTTTTTTTTTTATTTAATTTGGCGGAAACACTATTTATATTTTTCCGTTTACAGAGCACTATAGTGATTTCTCCTATTATAGTGATTGTTGTCTGCACTGTAAAAATAATTATTTATTATAGATGATAGTAGGTTGCTTCAAAATAAGTAATCAATTATTATAAACATGTCTTCAAATGGTAGTTAAAATGCTTTTCTAATTACTTTGCCTTAAAAGTAATTAAATACTTTACTCAATACAACTCGATCTAAATCAAAAGGATAGTTATATAAAGTATATTTTAAAAATTAGCATTTAGCTTTTTTTAATAGATATAATACTGAAGATAAAGACGTGTCAAACTTTAAATGTTTCATGTTTCATATGTACCATATTTTGTCATATTTTTTTATTTATTTATTGTTTCAATTCATCAACTTGATAAATGTTACCATAGTTGATCTAAACATTGATCTGTTTTTTTTTATTGATTTGCTTATTATTGGAATTTTAGTTAAATGTATTGTATGTTTTAATTGTAATTAGATTACCTAAAAATAAAGTAATTCCCTACTCTATAGGCTATTTCTGTAGCAAAGATGAATGAAAGCAATTCTTCCTTTTAACTTCTGTTTGAGTTACATGAAACTGACTTAAAGTTGGAACCTTAACTTAATTGCTCAAATTACAGTAATTAAATGAGTCCTATCGTTTTTAAAATGTGGTAGCAGTGACATTTGCTGTAAGCTATTGAGAAACCGCTTACAACAGCTTTAATGCTAATTGTAAATACCAACCCATTCTGCTGTTATCAAATGGGGAGCAACGTCATTTTCCTATATTAAGCTCCGTTAACAGCCTAGCACTGGCACAGGCACACGCAGCAGATGGCATGAAGACCCAGTCAAACCCAGGCTGAACTCCGACAACTTTCCCAGTGAGTTATGCACCTGCAGCAGCAGCTCATCTCACCGGCCAACAAACCGGTGAGTCTGGACAATGGTTTCCCGCACATCATCATGACCGCCGCCGCGGGGGTCGAGCGCGTCTCCTCCTCCTGCTCCTCCGGGGACGCGCACGAGCCGCCGCTGAAAAGACCAAGAAGCCCGTCACCAAACGCGCGGGAGACACAGGATAACGGAGAGAGCGAAAACAAGCCGGAATCAAGCGACCCCCGGACAGATTTCGCCTCGGAAATGTTCTCGTATGCGGGTCAACATGTGGTGCCAGCGCTCTCGGGTCACTATATGAGTCCTCAACCGGTCATCAGCAGCGGCTTGTACAGTGGGATGAGCTACTCGTACCCTCAGCCGTACGAACAAACTTACGCGAACGCAGCGGTCTATTCGTTCCCCGCGGTGTCCGGTAAAGCCCAGGTTTATCTGTGTAACCGGGCGCTGTGGTTTAAATTCCACAGACACCAAACTGAAATGATCATAACTAAACAGGGCCGGTGAGTCTGCTTTTTTGTTTCTTTAATTTTCTTTTCTTAAAAAAAGGTTGTTATTTTTTTTTTTATAAAATATGATCCGCTCTCATTTTATGTTTATGTATTTAATTATTTATTTATTTATTTTAAAAAAAATTGCATACACGTTTCGGCAGTTTGCTTTATTTTGAATGTAGTTTGATATATTTTTAAAAGGGTAAAACGTAAATCATAACTTCTAAATTCCAAAAATATGTTGGAAAAAAAAATCTAAATTCCCAAAATATTTACGCGCGAATGACATGGAAATCCCTTTTTACTTTTAAAGATAACCTTCAGTGATCAATAATAGTAATAATAAAATACATTTTACTATTTTAAAGGCTTGTGAAATTGAATATATCATTTAAAGCTTTATTAAGACCATTGATACGAAAATGACTTATTTAAAAAAGAGAACTATTCTTTGTGATTTCTTATTATTATTTGTGATTTGTTTAGTGTAAAGGTGTTTGTTTAATATGATTGTATTCTGTTTGAACAAACAGCTTTGCAATATAGCCTACTATATCACTTCATTAGACCTATTGCGCTGGCTAATTGTTTAGTTATGTGATAAAGATATTTAATTATTTAGCATAATTATTTTTTCGGGTAGGCTATAGTGTTGGGGTTTTAATGTTTTTTACATATTTGTATTGTTTATTTACATTTAGTTGCAACTTAATTTTGATTAATTTACTCTGTTCACTTTCCTCCAGACGGATGTTTCCGTGTCTAACTTTTAATGTTTCTGGTCTTGACCCGGCGGGTCATTATAATATTGCTGTGGATGTAATTCTGGCGGATCCAAACCACTGGAGGTTCCAGGGCGGAAAATGGGTCCCCTGTGGCAAAGCGGACACTAATGTTACCGGTAAACCCTTCTGTTCAACCAACTCCGTGTGAAATGTCTTCCTCTTTTTAAATCATAGATTTTAAGAGCAAAAATTATTATAAATATTAGCCTGTGTATGAAACTTCTTGCTTATTGAAGGAAACCGAGTGTACACGCACCCGGACTCTCCAAACACCGGCGCGCACTGGATGCGTCAGGAGATCTCTTTCGGAAAACTTAAGCTGACAAACAACAAAGGGGCTTCCAGCAACAACACTCAGGTGGTTTATATTTTATTGTTCTTCGTAATAAAAGGCAGTGGTGACTAATGGGTCAGTTCAGCAAAAAATAAGTAAAATTAAATAAAATAGCAGCTTAGGTTTAAATCAGTAGCCCATGACATGAAACCGATTTCATCTTAATTATTTAAAAAATGTATTATTAAAAATGACATTATTGGTTGATGAACGTTCTATGTTCAGTTCTTTTCATAGAGATGCAGAGTTAAAAGTTGTTCCAAGTGGCCAAGTGTTTTATTTATTAAATTACTGTAGGCTACACCAAATTATTTTCATTATATCAAAGGTCCTTACAATCTAAAACAGCTAATGTACCAAACCTTTAATGCACGGCTCAAGCATTTATTAAAACAACAAAGAAAAAAAGGCCATAACTGTTGCCAATTTACACTCAACTCCTTAAGCAACTTATAATTTTAACAATAATGAATCATTTTAATAATAATTACACTAAAAAGTAATCAAATTGTTGGGTTTGTTCATATTATTTCCATCCTTGGGTTAAACAGTCTAACGTTTTTTTTATGTACACACTGTATTAACCTTCAAGGCCTTTAGTTTTGAAGCAGTAAATGTCCTATAAAGTGCATTAAACATGTAGTGTAAATTGAATTGTTTTTGTAACTTCATATCAAGCAGCTCCTCCCTTTATTAAAGAACCAACAGCGTTTGATTATATCACCATGCAGCTCTGCCAAATCAGCATTTGGCAAACAAAAGTCGACCTAACCATTTCATTATCTCCATATTAAATACATAATTTTATTTAGAATTAAACTGATTCAAAGTCGTTTTGTTGTCTCATTTTCTGTGCGTGTGGTTTATGTGACACACTAAACCAGACTTCATGGAAAGCATTGTGTGCTATGCCTATGCATCATTTCTGCCACAGTTTTATCATTGATCTATTTATAGGCTAGGTGGTGTTATGCTTTATTCTGGAAAACATTTGATTGGACAAAAAATCTGACAAGAAGCTGAAGTGCAGAGTGATGTCATCTAATTTAATTATCCATATTAGCCGAACCGAGAGACTTTTAATGTTGAAGTCAAAATTATTAGCCCCCTTTTAATATTTTTTTCCTTTTTTAATGTTTCTCAAATTGTTTAAGAGAGCAAGGCAGTATGTCTTATAATATTTTTTTCTTCTGGAGAAAGTCTTATTTGTTTTATTTCAGCTAGAATAAAAGCAGTTTTTATTTTTTTTTAAACTATTTTAAGGTCAAAATTATTAGCTCATTTAAGCTATATTTTTTCGATAATCTACAGAGTAAACCATCGTTATACAATAACTTGCCTAATTACCCTAACCTGCCTAGTTAACCTAATTAACCTAGTTAAGCCTTTAAATGCCACTTTAGGCTGTATAGAAGTGTCCTGAAAAATATCTAGTCAAATATTATTCACTGTCATCATGGCAGAGATAAAAATAAATCAGTTATTAGAAATGATTTATTAAAACTATTATGATTAGAAATGGGCTGAAAAAATCTGCTCTCTGAAAAAAAAATAAACAGTGGGGCTAATAATAATTCAGGGAAACTAATAATTCTGACTTCAACTGTATCTTCTAAATATGAATTTTGTCATTGTTTTGGGGCATACTAGCTTATGGACAACCTCACATCTAGCATATTCATAATAAAAGCCCAACACTTTCATTTCAATTTTATGGAGACAAACATACAGTTTTGGTGTCAATAGAGATGCACAGACTTTCACATTTTCTATCTCTGTAATGTAATACTCCATCAAAGTCTATATAGGAATGGTTCATGTTTTACTTTTACTTTCTTTACTGTCCACAATTGGAATCATCTTAATTTTTGGCTTCACCACACAAACAGATCAACTTTCACATTACACACATCACATAAAAAACGGGCATCACCAATACACTCAACGTTATCACATATAGCACATTTAAAAAAAAAAAAAAAAAAAAAAAAAACTTTAAAAAATGTAATTTAAAAACCTTTACATACTTAGAACCCAGTATTTAATATTCTAATGGCAGTCGGCACGAAGGACATTAGATACACATTTTTCTTTACTTGAGGTTGCCTAAAATGTCTTTTTGATGGCAAGATGATGTGCTTTCTGTTTAATTCTCATTGAATAAAATTAATTTAGCTGACTTTGAACTTTACCTACAATTGCACTGCCAATGTTTTTTACTACTTGACACAGTTTTTGCTTTTCCTTAATTGGCAACAGTCCATACCATACAATCATGTTAAAACTCACAACTCTTTTAACCAAGTTCTTGTATACCATCTTCAGAACATTTCGACTCACCAAATTGTTGTAACCCTCCTAATGACATATAATCTCTGCAATGCTTTTTTAAAAATGCACTCTGCATTTACAGCAAATGTTAATCCACTATCAATAAGTGTTCCTAAATATTTAAAACAGCCAACAGTCTCTATTTCATGTCCCTCAAGGACCAGATGTTTAAACCCTTGATTAAGGACTAGTTTATTTCTGCTAATTATCATCTCCTTGGTTTTATTAAAACTGATCTCCAGTGAACTGATCTCCTTTTACACCAATTTTGAAGCAAATTTATATAATTATAGTACAAGGTATCTCCTTCTGTTCCTATTTTAGTCAATCGACCTACAGTATAAGTGCCGTTTTCATTATAAGCTTTAAAACTTTGGAATTAGCAATGGAGGCTTGGCATGAGATACTTAAGAAATTTTTCCTTAAAGCAACAGTTCACCCAATAATGAAAACCCAGATTAAAGCCTTGAAGTGGTTTCAACCTTTGAGCTTCTTGCTTTTGTTGAACACATTTGATACTGGTAGCCATTGACTGGCATTGTAGTCACCGGCTACCAGTTTCAACATTCTTTATAAAATCTTCACTGTAAAACATTTTGGGTCCCACACAATTCCTTCATGTTGTTTCAACACAAACCAATTAAGTTAACTTAATTCTTTTTTACAAATTTAAGTGGATTGAACACAGAAAATTAAGTTGTCCCTGCCCAAAAAGTAAGAGTTGTGTTGTTTTAACTCGATTTAAATAAGTTTGAACAAGCAGCAAACATCATTTCTTTTAGTGTTCTTATGTGTTCAACAGAAGAAAGAAACTCCATTACATTCGGAACAAGCAGAGGAAATGAACAAGTCGCCAAAGCCGCCAAAACAGCCCTAGCAGGAAAGCTGAAGGAGTGTAAAATCCCACCTTCAGATCTAAAGCCACTAATGAAAGGCTATATTATAAACAAATGGCAAACCGGATGGGATCAGTGCCCAGAAAATAAACTTTTTGAAATTCAGCCTGAAATGGGAAAAAAAATCTCATTTATTTCTTAAGTCAAGACACGATGAGATTGTTTATAGAAGATGCCGCATTGGACGCACAAGACTTACACATCAACATTTACTTAAATGAGAAGAACCACCAAAATGTCTGTATTGCGACAGAAACCAAACTATTAAACATATTCTTGTAGAACGCCCCATTTTTAATGTTATCAGACTACAATTTTTATCTGGAGAGACATTAAGTGAAATATTTTTAAATGTGAATCATCTAAAATTGTAGAATTTTTTTTTTTATCAAAAGGAAACCTTAAATAACTATTTTAGATTTTTATCTTGTATATTATCATTATTATTATTTATGTATTTTACCTTGAGTGTTATTTATTGCTGTTAGTGACTTTTAATTATTAGGACATTTTTATAATTATAGAAAATTGGTATTTATAAAATGTGGTAAACTTGTGGTAAGCAGAGGATTAGTAAATGATGACAGAATTTCTATTTCAGGGTGAACTATCTTCAATTCAAAAGCATAGTATGAACAAAGCCTGTTAAATTTAATGGAAAATGTCAAATAAAAAAAGAAACCTTTTATATCCTTGTATTTTTTTTATATTTATTTAAAGAGAGTGTAGATCTCATGGTGGGTGTAATGGCAAACAGAAGCCTGCTTTTTCCCTTTGTCTTTCAAGATGATCGTCCTACAGTCTCTCCATAAATATCAGCCAAGGGTTCATGTGATTGAAATAAGCAAGAATGAAGATGAAGATACCAGCGATCCTGATGGAGTTCAGACGTTCACCTTTCCCGAAACGCAATTTATATCTGTCACAGCTTACCAGAACACAGATGTAAGATCCAGCATTCTGCATTCATTTACACTGCATTCGTTTACACCACGGGAAGAAGTAAATTAATTCGAGCTGATTTAATGAATATCTTACTTTGTGTCCTCAGATAACTCAACTGAAAATTGATCACAATCCATTTGCCAAAGGATTTCGGGATAATTATGATACGTAAGTGCATTTCTATACAAATGTATGCATTTATTGATTGTTTCTCTTTTAGTTTTTCTAGATCGGTTTCATTTTTATTTCACTGTAAATGATGAATTCATACAAAATTGTAATTTAAATGTAAAATATTATTAATAAAAATAAAAACGTATTTTAAATTTTTTTAAAGATATTTTATATGTATTTCTGCATGCATTCTCTGTGTAAACGCAATTTGTTATAACAATAATTATTAAAAATTGTAATATGTTGTACTTTGTTTTATTAAATATTGTAATCCTACTACTACTTCCTCTAATAATCATTAAAATAAACTTTAGTTTTTGGTAGCGCTTTATATTGCATTCACTGTCCATCTAACACATACAGTAAAACAAATTAAAATAATTACAGAAATATTATTATTATTATTATTATTATAGTCTATATTCAGTCATATTTAACCAATCATGCCCAGATTATTAGCATGAAAAAATATTGATTTAAAACCCTGCCTGTTCAAATGGGGAGTTCCTCAGGGTTCAGCATTAGGTCCAGTTTTGTTTAGGATAGGGGAGAGTGAGAATGAAAGTAACATTTTTCATGAAACCTAATCAGAATCAGTTGTTATTTTGTATTAGTGTAGAACGACTGCAATATAACTTCACTTTAAGCAAAATTTGTTACATTAATACTTTTGACCCCGTCAGCAGGGATGAAAGCAAAACAAACGGGTGGGTCAAAAGTTACACAACAATATTTGCTAGATCTACTGGCTCAATCTTGTTTATTCTAAATATATCTGACCATGACCTTGTTAATGTCAAATGTTTCAAAAGAAATCCACTAATGCAAAATGTTAATTTTCAACTATGTTTTGAATAATTTGTTATTATTATTGGCAATATACATTCATTTCATAAAACATGTGAATAAAAATACTAAACTATAGAAGCCCGTTACTGCCATGACGTAAAATGCATGGTTTGGGATCTGTAGAGCTGCGCATCCATAATTTTGCTCTTCAGTGTTTGGACTCTCAGTAGAGATTATTAAACCACACTGAACTGAGCTAAACTGAATTGAACCTAAACTCTGAAAACTGAACTGGCACTGTTTTAATTTACTATGATCTTATATGTGAAGCTGCTTTGACACAATCTACATTGTAAAAGCCCCATACAAACAAAGGTGAATTGAATTAAATTGAATAAAATATGAATGATTTGCAAGTCATAATTATGATTTACTTTCTCATAATGACTTAACATCTCATAATAATGACTTTCTCATAATAATGACTTAACATCTCATAATAATGACTTAACATCCCATAATAATGACTTACTTTCTCATAATAATGACTTAATATCCCATAATAATGACTTAACATCTCATAATAATGACTCAACATCTCATAATAATGACTTAACATCTCATAATAATGACTTAACATCCCATAATAATGACTTACTTTCTCATAATAATGACTTAATATCCCATAATAATGACTTAACATCTCATAATAATGACTCGACATCTCATAATAATGACTTAACATCTCATAATAATGACTTAACATCCCATAATAATGACTTAACATCCCATAATAATGACTTACTTTCTCATAATAATGACTTAATATCCCATAATAATGACTTAACATCTCATAATAATGACTCGACATCTCATAATAATGACTTAACATCTCATAATAATGACTTAACATCCCATAATAATGACTTACTTTCTCATAATAATGACTTAATATCCCATATTAATGACTTAACATCTCATAATAATGACTTAACATCTCATAATAATGACTTAACATCCCATAATAATGACTTACTTTCTCATAATAATGACTTAATATCCCATAATAATGACTTAACATCTCATAATAATGACTCGACATCTCATAATAATGACTCAACATCTCATAATAATGACTTAACATCTCATAATAATGACTCGACATCTCATAATAATGACTTAACATCTCATAATAATGACTTAACATCCCATAATAATGACTTACTTTCTCATAATAATGACTTAATATCCCATAATAATGACTTAACATCTCATAATAATGACTCAACATCTCATAATAATGACTTAACATCTCATAATAATGACTCAACATCTCATAATAATGACTCAACATCTCATAATAATGACTTAACATCTCGTAATAATGACTTAACATCTCGTAATGACTGCCTCATAATAATGAGATACTTTCTAGTAATAATGACTTAACATCTCGTAATAATGACTTAACATCTCGTAATAATGACTTAACATCTCGTAATAATGACTTAACATATCATAATAATGACTTAACCTCTCATAATAATGACTTAACATTTCATAATAATGACTTAACATCTCGTAACAATGACTTAACATCTCGTAATGACTGCCTCATAATAATGAGATACTTTCTAGTAATAATGACTTAACATCTCGTAATAACGACTTAGCATCTCGTAATAATGACTTAACATCTCGTAATAATGACTTAACATATCATAATAATGACTTAACCTCTCATAATAATGACTTAACATTTCATAATAATGACTTAACATCTCGTAACAATGACTTAACATCTCGTAATGACTGCCTCATAATAATGAGATACTTTCTAGTAATAATGACTTAACATCTCATAATAACGACTTAGCATCTCGTAATAACGACTTAACATCTCCTAATAATGACTTAACATCTCATAATAATGACTTAACATCTCGTAATAACGACTTAACATCTCGTAATAATGACTTAACATCTCATAATAATGACTTAGAATCTCATAATGACTTCCTCATAATAACGAGATACTTTCTAGTAATAATGACTTAACATCTCGTAATAATGACTTATTATCTCGTAATAATGACTTAACATCTCGTAATAATGACTTAACCATCTCGTAATAATGACTTAACCATCTCATAATAATGACTTAACCATGTCGTAATAATGACTTAACATCTCGTAATAATGACTTACTTCCTAGTTAAATGAATTAACATCTCATCTCTTACTTTCTCATACTAATGACTTGACATCATGTAATAATGACTTATTTTCCCGTAATAATGACTTTCTCGAAATTACGAGAAACTTATAAGTCATTATTTTGGGATGTCTCATTATTACAGGCTTCCATAGTAAATTAATGCAGAAGTGAAAAATAAGGTATGGCCATTAGCAGTGGGACATAAATAAGAGTTACTTTTGTCCCCACGGGAACTCTTGCCATTTAAACCTGATTTACTTTTAAACTGAAAAACTCAAGAGATTTCAAAGTTTGTGTTATTGCACTAAAGAAAACTGTAGATTGATCAATAGTTTGACACGTGAAAAAAGAAACACAAGTTGTAGGAAGGAACAAAGGACCGCTACAATAATTTACTTTCTGCTCTTAAAAAACTGAAATTTAGAGCTAACCGTGCATGGGACATAAATCACATGATATTTGGCAGCTCCATTAGGAGTTGCATTCTGAATATGCTGTTATATCCTGGAAATCAAATGTTGACAGGGCTTCGAGAAAACTGCTTTGTTATTTTCGTCCCATGTTACCTTCATCTCCACTCTCCCCTATAAATGCTACCACTTGGGCAGACTATCAGGGAACATGGTCCTGGGTGTCACTGCATTGTGGATGATTCCCATATTTACATCATATACAGTTATTTTTTATATATAGAATTGTATCTTCACCGAGTGTGTGGCTTAAAGAAATTAGAATCTGGATGCAGTGTCATCTTTCTTAAACCGAATGATTCCAAGACTGAAGATCCTTTCTTACTTGAGCTGATGCAGAAAGGCTTATAGGGACCTTCATTACATCAAGATTGGATTACTCTAATGCCTTGTTTTCTGGCCTTCCAGCTAAATCTCTTAACAAGTTACAGTACATTCAGATTTCTGCTGCTCTGTGTTGACTCCACCAAGAGAACACATTACACTTGTGCTTTCACAGTTACACTGGCTTCCTTTCAATGGAATTGACTGTAAAATTCTTATTTTAACTTATAAAGCATTGCATAGCACTGCACTTCAGTATCGTTATTTATCGAAAAGTATTTACACTTTTCACTCTGCTCTGGCAGGTCTAAATTACTCTATCAGCCTTCTTGTAAACTTAAGATATAGGAGGATATATATATATATATATATATATATATATATATGTATTTTTTTTTTTTTTCATTCGAAGCCACCCAAATTAATGCACTTTATTTTTGATGCCTCTTTTTGATTTTGTTTTGCATAAACCACCCAGTAGACAATTGTGTTTGTTTTCACCACAATAGAGCAAACTGAGGGAAAGAGAAAGTCGTCACTCTCATAATATATCCAGGAGTTATTCTATTTTCAACCGAAAAGAGGTGTAATACTGTTCTTTTTTTATTTTTAACCAATTTTTATACCCAATTTTGAGATCTCCCCATGTTTGAACCACCTTTAGGCGCTTTTTTGTTTTTGTTCTAAAACCTTTTTGAAAGTGTGTAACTCAGTGTGCTAGCAAACTGCAGATGGTTATATTTGATTCTAGAATATGACACTGAACAAATAATTTAGTCTCTATTATGTAGAATACAAAATAGGTGTAAGTGAAATCTTGAACATTTAAGTATAAATAAGAACATAAATGTAAAAGAGGTCCCTAATCACTGACAGCTAGCTCTCTGTAATTCTCACATGGTCACCCACTGGAGCTAAGCATGGCTACGCCTGGTCAGTACCTGGATGGGAGACCACATGGGAAAGCTTTTTTGCTGCCGGAAGTGGTGTTAGTGAGGCCAACAGAGGGCGCTCAACCTGTGGTCTGTGTGGGTCCTAACGCCCCAGTATATTAATGGGGACTCTATACTGCTCAGTGAGTGCTGTCTTTTGGATGAGACGTTAAACTGATGTCCTTACTCTCTGTGGTCATTAAAAATCCCAGGATGTCCTTTGATTAGAGTAGGGGTTTAACCCTGGCATCCTGGCCAAATTTGTCCACTGGCCTCTGTCTATCATGGCCTCCTAACCATCCCCATACCATAATTGGCTTCATCACTCTGTCTCCTCTCCACCAATCAGCTTGTGTGGTGTGTGGTCTGCCGCAATATAGCTGCCGTCACGTCATCCAGGTGGATGCTGCACTCTGGTGGTGGATGAAGAGATCCCTCCATTGTGTAAAGCACTTTGAGTGTCTTAAAAAGCACTATATAAATGTAAGGAATTATTAATTATTATTAATATTTGTAGAAAATAGAGATTCTAAGCTTTGTAAGATTATTTTTAACCTTTATTTTTAATAGGACATTTGAGAATAAACTAATCTGACTGCAGTATCTGACTGCAGACTTGCATATGCAAGATGAGACACACAATCTCAGCCACAATGATCTCAATGGAGCTAATGAAATCATTGTGAGGGGTATGATTAGGGGCAGGGTTACGTGTGTGCATTAAAAGCCTTGCATGCCACTCGGCTTACATCTACACCTGGTCTGCCGCAAGACCCTTCTCGAGTAGACAGGAAAGCATGGGGAGCTTAGAAAGAGAGAGAGGGGAAGGATTAGTTAAAATATCTTGAGCTGGGAATTGAACTTAGGTCACCATGAACACCTCAACGCACAAACCACCAGGCTATTGGCGCCTTTCTGAGCTTTCTAATAGTATCAAATGTACTGGTCCAACACAATCTCACAACAATTCGTAACCTTTTGATTTAGTGGCTTATTCATATGAATTTGTACGATCTAATTCGTACGATTTATTATGATTTGCTCATCACCCAATAACAGTTGGGTTTTGGGGTGGGGTTGGGTGCCACGACTCCTTTTTAAAATCGTTTTCATTTTCGTACGACTCAACTTGTACAAATTCATACAAATTAGCCACTAAACTAACAAAACATATAGTACTTGCGTTTCCTCGTGAGATCAGGCTGACTGGACTGATCAATACTGTTGTGTTCTCTGTCATATGTCAACTAAATCTTTTTAGCATATTCCATAAATAAAAATAAGGTATTTGTATTATTCATAACAAGGTCTATTGTGTTAATATATTGTGTTTGTCATTTAAAATGCTGGGGAAAAGAGCTTGGGCCCTATTATACACCCGGTGCTATACACCCAGCATGTTTGCCTCAAGGTGTTGCTATTTTCAGACCAACGCAACCTTAATTTTCCTATTTTCCACCACGTTGTTTAAATAGCAAATTAATTTGCACCACTTTGTGGACTCATGGGTGTTTTGGTCTAGAAAAGAGGTGTGTTAATGTGCATTGTTGGTGCGTTGCCATTTTGAGGAAAACAAAATAAACCGTGCAATAGGGTATATGCCGAGCTAGTGCAGTTCCCATGCTGATTAACTTCCGGTGACCTGTTATTATGAACTTTTTACCATTTTATACAGTTCCTTACACAGCATCGATGTTGTAATGTCATTAAAATACATTCAGTTAAATAAACTTTAGCCTTTATTTAGTTGCTCAAGCATAAAACGAGACAAAAAGCTGTTTACTCGCACGCGACCGTCATAATCGGCAGGCTAACGCAGAAGCTCCATTGAAAATACTGGGGTAAAATTAATGCTCATATTATAAAGATATGGCGGGGGAAATGTAATTCAATGCAATTCTTCTTGTACAATCTGAGACCCACTTTAAATCGGATATCACTCAGCTAGTGGAGATTGCTGATTTTTAAAGAAAACAGACCTTAAACGCACCGGATTTTGCATTGGCATTCAATTCCCCGGAAGTGCTTAACCCAGGTTACTGGCAAATTAAAAGTCCTATTAGCATGCTTGGGCATATACCCCATTGACCAGCTGAAAGCAGGTCTAAAGTCTAGTGTAGAGTGCATTAGTTATGCGCCTCACACATTGCTTCAAACACGCAGGATGTACAGCAATACGCAAATATCTTTACAAATAAAAAAAATGAAAGGAATAAAATATTACAAAAATGATTACTTTCTACATAAATATAAAAACCACCTCCTCCATGCCTTCTTTATCTCTGGGGGCTTTTTTTAGTTTATTGACAATTTGCTTTTGTATAATTTTATTATTATTGGTTGAATTATTTATTATATGCATTTTCTATTTGTTTTAATTAAAACAAGTTTAGATTTGTCAGGTTTTGAACCATATGGGGCACAGCATGTGAGTTTGGATGTAACTCAGGTTTTTGAGCACACTTCATTATTATTGTTCATTTATTTGTTTGCTGGAAATTAAAACAGAATTTAGAAATAGTTTTAAAACAAATCTTTGCACTTAACAAACAAAATTAATTACATAGGGTAATGGATGTCTGTGTATAGCCTACAACATCGTTTTCTTATCCACGAAAGAGAGAAAGTGAAAGTAAAGGCGGATTCAATGAGGCTCATTCTTTATCCTCGCGCTGCAGATGGTCTGTTTAATGGTTTTCTCGTTCAGTTTTTACAACTATAAAGTCTGCCATGTAAATAGCAAATGCGCCATAGCACGGCGACTCTTATGCTGTGTTCACACCAGACGCAGAACGCGCGGATAAATCGCGCTATTCGCGCGTAAATAGCAGCGTGAACATTTGAGTTTACTCGCTTCATTCGCGCGTCAAACCCCACTTCATTCGCGCGTCAAACCCCGCTTTATTCGCATGTCAAATTCACTTCAGAACAGACGCGGATTCGCATGATGGGCAGGGCTTCTGTCTGCCCGGTGACTCTAGCTTCATAGCTAAATGGCTAACATGGACTTTATGAAGAAAATAACAGTGTTTATGTGCTTTATGAAGGATGATAAACAGCGTCGATACGTTTAGAGCCGTGTCTGAGTCCACTACATCCTTTCAGAGGTACATCCAGCTCTTTAAGCTCATAGACTCCTCCAGAAACTTAACCTGGCTGATGGAGGTTTTCAGCGGTGCTTCTGACTGAGCCCAGGCCAGTTTAATGAATTTCTTGTCCATTTCTGCTGGGGGATTTCCCCTGGGACACAGACAACACGCGATACATCACAATCACACTCCCACAAGAGCAAGCTCCTGATTGGTTAACACGGCGCGAATGTCCGCTGGAGTTCAGATTTTCAAACGCGAGTGATTCGCGGGAAAAATTCAAATGCGCAAAACGCTCAATTCACGCCACGCCATTCGCGCCATGCGCACCGCGCAATTCTCATCATTCACGCCGCGCCATTCGCGCGTATCGCGCCGCAGGATGTCTATTTGCGCGTTTGCATTGACTTAACATGTAAATCACTCGCGCTTGACGCGTGTTCCACATCTAGTGTGAACGCAGTATTAAAGAGAATGGGAGATGAAACTGTGATTGGTTTATTCTCAAAACACACCTATAACTCAATAAGGCCCCATATACACTGTCAGGTCTTGATGCCCAATTCCGATTTGTTGCCAGTATCAGGGTTTTTTTTCTGTCCGTTGACACGTTCTTTTAATTGTGACCCATATCCAATTCATTTGTTTACACTTGGCATACAATTAATGAGGTCTCATGCATAAAGGCGGGTTCTAGCATCTGTGCCACACTAGCCACAATGGAAGAAATTGTCTTGTTTTTTGCTCTGTGAAATATGCGTTATTATATTTTTCATGCTTGGTTTGAGTGGGCTTTAACACTCAGTGTCCTTCGGCTCCTTAGTCCCTGATTCATCAGGAATTGCCACAGTGAAAAGAAACAGCAATTACTCTGCCATATGATTTATGTTGTGGATGCCCTTTCAGCCACAACCCAGCACTAGGAAATGGTCCTTAAAACATTACAAAATAAAACAATAAATTACAGAAGCGGTGTCACTAATTACCTCTTGCTTTAATTCTCCAGAAAATACAGTATGGACAACACTGACCGTCTGACACCCAGTGACTCTCCACACTCTCAGCTTCTGCCCAGTTCAAGGTACGCAATGCCAAGCGCATTATTCCAGGAGCAATTTGTCGACAGTTACACTAAATCCTGTTTTACGACTGGCACTCCTGAGCGAGGACTTGAGTTTACTAACAGCATTATGACCTCCAACCAAACCCAAGAAAGCAGCGTGACTTCAGGCCAGCGCTGGTTTGTATCTTCACCCTCTGTTCCATCATACGAAGCTGATGTTGACACTGCGGCTCTGCTTTCTTACACCACAGCAGGGGTTAAAAATTTGCCTTTTACTAGTACTGGTGGCTCAAGTAACAGTTTGGATTACTATACCAGCACTGCCGGATGGGATTCACGGGGATCGCTAGAGAACGGGAGTAAAACCATTTCAAATCTCTCTGGGTGGGTTTTAGATGCAACTCTTGAAAGATCAATGCAACCGAATTACTTGCCAGATGACAGAGAATTGATGGAAAGATCCAGTTTAGGGGTTTCAGCGGAGCTTAGAGGAAAAGATGTGGTGGATTCGACATGGACTGATACTCAATCTTCTATTAAATCAGTCGATTCGAGTGATTTAAGGATTTTGGAAGAGGCACCAAAGGACGATTTGTCTATCCGTCCAGATTCAGAAGATCAGGCTGCAGAGGATGTGCAGAACAGAGCAAGAAATGGGATCAAAGAATCAGGCTTTTTTCATTTTGACGCTTAAATGTGAAGCTGCATAAGACGAGTGTACACTTCTAATGTTGATATTGAATTCATTTTATAATTTATGTGAACAGTGTTTGTAGATCACAATTAGAGAACATTTTATACAATTATTTTCTTTCTGCAATAATGTAATATTTTTATTCACTGTAAAAACGTTCTTCTTGCCTTAAATTTTTTATTGAATCAAAGGAACTCTTCTAATCATCTCAACTTGAATCCAGCATAGGCTCATTCTCAAAGCATATCCCTATATACATTTCTGGTGGTCTCTGTAGCCTGAAGTACGTATTGCTGCATTTTGTCTTTAAAACAAATGCTACGGGGCGATGCCATTCCTTTTCACGTTTGAAGCTGACCGATTACCTGCGTATTGACAGCTTTTCCACTGTTCTCAGTCTGTCCTGTGGCTCGCAGCATACGCCGGCGTACTTGAGATGCAGAGAATAATTAAGTAAATAACAGGGTGAGAATGTGATAAAATCTGAAAATGTAAAAATCAGGGGGCTTTTCTTTTTCTGGATTGCTTTTCAACACATTGTCAGTTGGGTTAGGCTTGAGTTGGAAAATCTGAACTTCAGCGGACATTCACTGGAGGTTGATAAATTAGAAGTTTGCTCTTGTTGGGGCGTGATTATGGCGTATCGCTTGTTTTTGGTCTACCTGGCAAAAATCCTCTTGCCAACACCGGAAAAAAAGTTTATTAAGGCCTCGGCTCAGTCTGAAGCACTGCTGAAAGCTTCCATCATTCATCGTCCAGATACAGTTTCTGGTAGAGTTAACTCTGAGAACTGGGTGCACCTCTGATAGATCTAGATAGATCTAGTGGACTTAGACACGGCTCCAAATGTATTGTCGCTGTTTATCAACCTTCCTAAAACACATAAACAGCTATTCACTCAATAAAATTTCATGTTAGCCATTTAGCAACGAAGCTACAGTCACCAGGCAGACAGAAGCCCCACCCATGATGCGAATCCACGTCTATTGATAAGTAAATTTGATGCGTGAATGAAGCGAGTCAACTCAAAATGTTCACACATCTATTTACGCGCGAGTAGCATGATTTAACTGCGCGCACTGAGTCTGGTGTGAACACAGCATCAGTCTCATGAGAGAAATTTGGCAGATTCGCAAAGACAAAAATTGCAAACAAAAACATATCTCCTGGGACATATTTGGTGCTCTCCAGATGTATATCGGGCTATGTTTTCAGAATGAGCCGGGGTTGCTTAAATCAGTCAACCTGGTTAAAAACATTACATTAAACTTTGTAGCGTTAAAAAAAAAATAGTTGAAACTCGATTAGCTTATTGTAATAGGTTAAAGTAACATAAAAGTATTTGTTGTCATGACTTTTTAGTCAGCAAATGTTTTATATTTTAATGTTCAAAATTTCAGGACAATTTAGTTGTAAACCTAAAGCACACTCTTCAACAACAATAACAAAAAATGTTTGTTTAGTGGAAAACACTGATATGAAACTTAGCGAACCGCAATGACTGTAGCACAAAGGATGATTAAATTTCTAAAGGTTACAGCTGTCAAAAATGGGTCATCATTAATCTCTCTTAACACTGCTCTCTTCTTCATTCTCTTCCGGAGTCTAGTAAAAGTAATGAGTTAATGAATTAATGAGATTTTCAATCAGGTTTTGATCAGGACTTTGGGCTGCCATTTCATTAATTCAGTGTTTTCAGATTCAGTGAAATGCTTTACCCATTTTGCTGTTTGATGGAGCTCATTGCCCTACATGTAAATTGTTGGCTCTGTCCATACATACTGTAAAGCAGAGATGTATAGTAACGAAGTAGAACTACTTCACTACTGTACTTAAGTACTAAAAGAGTATCTGTACTCTACTGGAGTATTGTTTTTTTTCCTCCTACTTCTACTTTTACTTCAGTACATATTGTCAATGAGTTTAACATTTACTCTGATAGATTTTACTAAGGGTGTCAAAATGATTGAAATCGGTTCAGTAATAGATCATAACCGGTCCTAACGTCATTTATCTCCTATGCGCGATGTCGCAGTAGTATACTATGGCGAAGGAGGCAGGGGCGAGTAAATAAAGCTCTTTCTACAATGAAGGCGGCTTAGCTCGCAAGCCCGCTATTTCACTACTACCGAGAAATGCTGTAAAACTCCATCTTTACCTCTCTCCACATGGGTGTTAAAGCAATACTTGTGGATTGGAACGAGCATGCTTGTGGTGTGAGTTTTCTCCACGGTGTCTATTATGTATTACCTGTGATAACCTCCATCGGTGAACAACACTTTCTTTTCTAAAGCCGATAGCAGCCCTTTGTGTTGAGCAGGTGAAGAATAATCAATCATAGGCGTGTAAGACCTCGCCTGTCAGTGCTCAAAAAGCAAGCGAGAGAATATTTACATTAGTTTATTTGCTCTAAATGCTCATGCTGTCTTCTGTGCACGCATTGGAGTTTTGTTTGATACATTCAGAAAGAGTGTTTTCTTTAAGCAGGTCAAATTACAGTTCATATATCTGTCTGCTGTATTAAAGAACAAAATTGTATTACAAATAATATATAAATATTAATAGATTTGTAGATTTTGATTAAAAAAAAACTTGTGTTGTTAAGAAAAAATCAAATTATGTATGGAAAGCATCGTCAATGCACCGTGATGATATCGAATTGAACCCAATCGATGGCATGATAATCATAACCGAACCAAACCGTGAGACGAGAGTAGATTCACACCCCTACTTGTTACAATCATAACGTTAGAACTTTTTCTTGGCTGCTGCATGAATGGCGCAACAGTGACCAGCGTCTTCCGCTAGGATTAAAACTTTCGTTTACAGCTTCTATAACCGGTAAATTGCGATCCGAAAATGGGTTTCAGTAGCATTTTAAGTGGATTGCGGATTGTTTTTGTGTCACACAACTTTGAAAGGTGTGTGATAAAGCTGTTATAATTTGTCAAATCTGTGGTTCAAGCGCGAAAGAAAAACAATATCATATAAGCCATGTTTCTTTTCATTCTGCTTAATCACGTGTCCCAAAAAAAAGATATTTGAAATGAACAAATCGATATGATGTCTTTTGACAGTTTTCTTTAATAACTACATTACACAATACTTGTACTTTAACTTTCAGTACTTGAGTAGTACATTTTGAAATAAACTACTTGCAATACTTAAGAACAAAAAATGTTGAATACTTTTGTACTTCCACTTAAGTATGGTGCTTGAAGAGCACTTCAACTTCTACTCAAGTCACTTTATACATCTCTGTTCTAAAGTATTAGAGTTTTAGAGTCATTAGTTTAAACCTTTATTACTCTTCATATGGGAGGTTTGGTTTTATGCAAAGTTTTCTTAAATGTATAAAACTGAATATTTGGTCATCATTAACTCATCCTCCAATTGCTCCAAACATGTTTTAATTTATTCTAATACAAATGAGATATTTTTAATACGAATTGACACTATTTTGCTCCTGTTAGGATAACTTCTATGATAAAGCAGTTACCTCAAAATTTCAGAAATGACTGGTTGTTCTCTAATTTCGATCTCCACTCTATTTATTTTCATGTTAATGACAGCACAATCGGAGATAAATAAGAAGTGATATCTCCTACCGCCTGGACTCAGTGTAATTTATAGATTGTATGACTATAAATGATTCCCCCCAGTAGTGGTATAAAGAAAATGCAAATATTAATAGACTAACATATCAGTGTTTAAAATCTTCAGCTCCCAATTAATAAACTGTTATTCATAGTGGTGTGTAATGATTGTGATATTCAAAACAATATATTTAAAGAAATGGACATATTGTAATGTGAAGATGTGGCATTCTGCAGGTGTCAGAATGTTTAATGTATCAACCTAAATAAATGGTCTGATTTTCTTACATTTCCAGTTTACGTTTGAATCAACCTGTTTACACGCAGGAAAAACCTTCCAAGTTGATGCGAGTGTATTGAAATATTCTACAACACTGTCACCTGGTGGCGAATGCAAAATCAAGTGGTGTCACTCTCCAGTTTTGGGACCTAGCTCGTGTGTCCTTGACCTGGAGGAAATCGAGTTTAATTCTCCAGCATCTACCACTAAATAACACTACATACTCTCATACTGTACAGTACAGTGTATGGATCAAGAGGATAAGCTCTTTTAGCAGCTGTTGAACCCAAAATAAAAGTGACCCACCTTCCTTCTGCTGGCTAATGTTCCTATGTATCAGAATACATTTAAAGGAACACTCCACTTTTTATTTCTTTATTTGTTTTTAATTAATTAATTAGTTTTTGGAATGTGGCTTGGAGTTAATGCCTTGTAAAATGAGCCTATTTTCAAAAAAGTGGAATGTACTTTTATATGAACATTGTAACAATGTAAGTAATACACTCACTGGCCAAGAAAAATATCCACCACATCATAACACCACCCCCACCAGCCTGAACTGGCAAGGTAGAATGGATCCATGCATTAATGTGGTTGACGCTAAATTCTGACCCTACCATTTGAATGTCGCAGCAAAGATTGAGACTCATCAGACCAGGCAACATTTTTCCAATCTTCTATGTTGTCCAATTTTGGTGAGCCTGTGGATTGTAGCCTTCTACTGCTGTAGCTCAGCTGCCTCAAGGTTCGAGGTGTTGTACGTTCAGAGGCGCTCTGCATAATGGAAACAAGAAATTTGCTGTGTATGTTTGAGTTACACTTAATTAAACAAGTCAATGTGTTCACACAACCCTTTTTTAATAAGTACAAAAACACTTTCAATATATGTTTAATTTGGTTATTTGACAGTTGGATTTTAGTCATCTCCACATGGAAATTTTGACATATAACTGCTTTTTCAGTTATTGCAGGCTTAATGGAGAAAAAGCCTATTACCCTTACGAAAAGTAAGCATGGTTTCATTTAAAGTGTTGCATTATTATTTTTATACAACACTTTTACTTCAAAGGTTGTTATCATCTTACTACTAATATCTGGCTAAACATCTATTTGTTTCTTTGTTTTGTTTTATTTGCAGTAAAACATTGTTTATTTTTGCCAAAATTAATTATTAGATGCTTTTATTTCCTATAGGACTCCAATGGCAAAATTCCATCATTTGTACTATTTTTCTATTCATTCATCCATTCAATTTCTTTTCGGCTCAGTCCCTTTATTGATCTGGGGTCGCCACAGTGGAATGAACCGCCAACTTTTCCAGCACGTTTTTGTGCAGCAGGTGCCCTTCCAGCCGCAACCCATCACTGGGAAAAAATTTTTCTATGTTCTCTCATAATTATTTCACAATTAGATTTAGTTAAAACCACACTAGGTTGCTTAAATCTTTAACCAGCTTGAATCAACCAAAATAATCACCTGATCCCATGCAAAAACGTTATTTAGATAACACTTTAAATGAAGTAACATTTCACACCATTTACTACTGGTTTATTGCCTGCCTAATTAACTCTTTATTAGCACTTACAAGGTATATTTTAAACCCCTAAGGGTCTACCTAACACCAATTACTACCTTACTATTAATAAGCAGCCAATTAAAGCTGTATTGAGCTAAAGGTCTTAGTTGATGGCTTGTTAATAGTGTGAATTGTACATTAAAATAAAGTGTGACCATTATTTATTTATTGTTTGTTTGTATTATATTCCCATTGTTTAGCCGCAAATGTTAAATAAGAATTTATAGG